CAGTGCAGTCACTCACCGTGTAGCCCTGCGTCTTGGTGCTGAACGGCCACGCGCCCTTCCGATGCTGGCGATAACACTTCTCCTGATCCGGGATATTCTCGCGCATCTGGTGGTCTTCCACGAATTCCAGCGCCTTGGTCAACATTGGCCGCCACTTCGGGTCCGCCGCAAAACCAGCCACAACAACAGCCTGGATGATGAAGGTGGTATCCCAGACCTGCACTCCGTTGGTGCCGTTCATCAACATGCCCTCATCCTTCATCCACATGTAGTCATTCAAGCGCTCACGGTGCCGGCGTACCGAGTAGCTATCGGGGCCGTCATGTTCATAGCACGCGATCATGTTCATAGGGTTGCTGACCGGCCCCAAGCCAGCGTAATCCGTGTTCTCATCTTCCATCCGGATCAGTTCCCAAGTCCACTCTTCCGCGCGGCGGGTCACTGCGGAAACACGGAAATAGGGATTCCAGAAACTGACGAGAACCGAGTTCAGCGTGTTCAGTAGCCACGTCTTCGGGTAGTAATTGTCCGCTGCGTGGATTGAGTTGCGGTGGCCGGCAAAATCGATCGAATCATATGGTTGCGTATACAGCTCTTGCCGAAGCTGCTTGGTGAGAGGGTCCAACGGATGGGCGAATTTCTTAGACCACAGATAAGACATGGGCAGGAAGACCTGCCGAATGTGAATCCACCACCGCCAAGGGGCAAATGGCACCCAGTCCGGAAGCAACCTAAAGCCCAAGTCAGCATTCTCTACCTCACACCGATAACAGCAAGCCAACATACCAGATCTCTGGCGGAACAGGATTCACGCAATCCCACTCCATCACACCCAGCACACTGAGGAAGAACTTCGCCCAGTGAGGTCCATAGAGCGCGCCTCCAAATTTATGAAGCAGTCCGCGGGCCTTGACCATGCGGGGGTCGTCTTCATTGACCCCAACCAGCCGCAGCGCGACGTAGTTCATACACGTCCCGAAGACGGAGCTATGAGCTTCGATGTGAAGACCCCAGCCACCATCCTCCGGATGCTGCCGAGCAAAGAGGTATCTCTTGATCTCGGTCGCATATTCCGGGGGGATGGGAGTGTGCGTGACATAGTAGGTGATAATCAGGCCCGGTAGCAGGAACATAGGCCCACCGTACTCGCAGGCCCAATTGCCCGGCTCGAGCTGTAGCTTTGAGAAGAACTCCAGGCCGTTCTCTGCACATTGAAGCGGAGTCTTGGGCGTTGGAAGTTCGGGAAGACCCTAGAGCTCAGCCCGATTAGAGAAAATAGCTTAAGCCAACGAAGAGCACCAGAGAGGATAGATATACCGTGGGTAAACCCAGAAAGTACTTATCGGCCACCGTCTGCGGCCACTTCTCACACTCCTCATCCGATTCGAGATAGTGCCACGTTTGGCGACCGCGATCGTCCCGTAGTCGCCAGCGAGTGTAGTCCGTTTTGGTATCTCCATGGTCATCGGAAGTCAAATGGCCCTGGGCCGGTGTTCTCCACGGAGCGATATGTGTTCCCGACATGGCTGCTGCTATGGAAGAAGGGGGGGGAACGATACGAAGCGAGACAGGTCAATGGCACAACAATAATAGTCTAAAGGCTAGACACTAGACTGGCAGAGAGGCATTGACCAAAAGCAATTGAAGCTTCCCTGCGTTCTACGGGGGGTCTCGCAACCTGGCCTAAACGCTTTTCAAGATAAGTTAATTAGTAGTAGTTAGTTGTAGTTGAGGTAAGGTAAATCAAATCAACACACATTCTTGATCGACGGAGCTACCCGCTTAGTCACCCATCAGGGGGTGTGGTTGCCTAATCAAGACATGCCGGTAGTACGCACTTGAATCTGACATATCACATGTAACTAACTAACTAACTAGACAGGATAACAGGATAACAGGATAACAGATAGAAAGAACAATCACATAGCTCAGGTGTTATTATGAATCATCCCTAACGTTCCCAACGTCCCCAATATCCCTTGGCAAGAGACATCAGGTCCTGATTAAAGATTACTACTGATCTGGAGGACAACATCTCCAATCCAGGGCTCGCAAGCCCACATGGTTCTGAGGTATCAAGTATGCAAAAACAACCACAACCACAACAACACCACAAAATCAATTTACCAAGTCCTCCGGGTATCAATCCTGCCCTATCCTTCCATAACCATAAACTTCTCGATCACTTCAATTCATTTGGCCACCCCCACAGCGGACGTCTCCTGAGCCGTCACTGTAGGGTCCACCTTGACAGGCTCCGCGGTCGAGGACTCCTGTTTGGGCGCCTCAAATGGCACTTCTTCAGCCGGGGTTGCAATTTCCTTCGAGCCCTCGGCGTCCGGCGTCGGCTCGGGAGCCGCGGCGGGAACAGGAGCACTCTGTTCCAACTTGACGGTATAGCCACCTTCCTGCAAGGCGGGACCGGTGCCGCCGTAAGAGTGAGGAAACTGATCCTTCAGAGCAGGGAACTCCCGAGCCAGATTGGCGCCGTTGGAGATGGGGTGGAATTTGCGCGTAGTGTTCTTGCTGAGGAAAACCTTCATCGCGGCGAACATCCAGCCCATGATGGCAGGAACATTGACGAAGAACTTCTCGCGCAGCAGTTCGGGGTAGGCGGTGGCGAAGACCTCAATAGTCTTCTTGGTGGCTGCGCGAATGTTGGGATTCAAGCGGAGGAAGCTGACGTTCAAGTAGTCGTGGACCTGGAGCATCTGGTAGGGGTCCTCTCCCTCATAGTCAATCACGGTCGTAGCCTCGCCGAGCTTCATATCCTTGACTGCCAGCTCCATGAGTGCCACACGCCACCGGATGAACCTGAATTCAGGTTTAGCTTCGCATTGACAGCATATTCTCAAAGGGGGGTCACATACTCATCTGAGTCACCAAACGTAGCTTCCACATTTTTGACACTTCCATAAATATTCCACGTAACAATAACCTCCTGGCCGTTCGCCTCGGTGTATTTGGTCACATAGCCAAGACCACTGAACTTCTCAGCATTGTATTGACCTTCAGTCAGCGCGATGGGGTTCATCTCCTTGCGCCATTGCATAGCCTTGGTGAGCTGCTCCTCAGCCAGCTTGACATTGCCCTCGTTAGCGCGCAAGAATTTGATGAGTACGTTGACCGTGGGGATATCGTTGAAGTCCTTCAAGGTCACTCCCCACATCTCAGCATGGCCGGTCGCAGAGAGAATGGCAGGCAGGCGATCGAAGAATTCGGCGAGAGCGGGGGTTTTAACCAGATATTCCGGTTGAGCAGGCTGCTCCTCCTTGGCCTCCTCCTTAGGTTCTTCCTTGGGTTCTTCCTTGGGTTCTTCCTTGGGTTCTTCCTTTGGTTCTTCCTTGGGTTCTTCCTTGGGTTCTTCCTTAGGTTCTTCCTCTTTTACGCCATCCTTTGAAGGTCCTTCCTTCGCTACTTCCTCGTTCTTTGCCTCTAGAGCGGGAGCAGTCTCGGTAACGGGAGCTTCGGTGGTGGCGGGAATAGAAGGAGCAGCAGCGGTAGCGGCGGCGGGTATTTGAGCAGGTTCCGCGGCCATCTTCTCCTCGGTCGTCATCTCCGGCTGAGGTTCAGCGATAGTGTCGGTAGTAGCAGCAGCAGCAGCAGCAGCGGTAGCAGACTCAGCAGACGCAGGCTGAGGGGCCTCAGGAGTAGTGGTGGTAGCAGGCTGCGACTCAGGAACGACTGGAGTCGTCGTCTTCTCCTGGTGATCGGACATGGTGGACTGGGATGCTAAGGAGTGGTTCGCTAAGAAATGGAGGATTTCTGTCAGGTCGCAACGTGGTCGAGTGACTGACCACAGAAATGAATAGGTGATCAATGGAGAAGTCAAGGGATGAAGGAGGAATTCAGAGGAGATGGAAGCGAGGGAGAGACGGAACGAGGGAATGAGAGACGATGACGAGAAGAGCGAAAGCGGAGAGAGAGAGAGAGAGCGAGAGAGAATACTAGGTAGGCTCTAATTACAGGGATGGACAACAGAAACGATAACAACAATAACAACAACGGATTAACCATGTAGCAGCTAGGCCACTGGCCACACAAACTACGGAGTAAGTTACTATTTACTGTACCTCTAGTAGTACGAAACATTTGTTCAGAGATTATTCAACCTGAAACTGTCTAACTAACTAGTTCTTGGGTCTGGGGGTCTAGATTGTGGAGCTGCCATGGCTCCGCGCTGGACGATTGATAAATGATAACAGCCTCGGAGACCAACTCACTAAACCCCAACGGTCGCTGGCTAATTTTAACTCTGCTGCAAGGGTGTTTCAGAATGAGCCCAGGTTGAGATGAAGCTGAAAAAGAAGATGGAGCCTCCAGAAGGGGGAGGGGGGGAAAGCAATAACGGAAGGAAGAAAAGAAAAAATAGGCAGAGAGAGAAATGACAACTCATTTCGCAGCACGGCTATCAGTTCTGCTGCCCCTGACAGAATGCAGAAAGCCCGGCTTTTGAGAGAGAAAAGACTCGTAACTATGGCCTGACCATCTGATACATCAATCGGTGTTGCTGCTATTCTCGGCTCCGGGTCCGGATGGGATGCCCTACGGCTATTTTTATCCTCTCCCTACACCTTTTCATTCATGTACAATCCTTCCTGGTCACTCCCTGGTGCATCTGGATTCAACGAGGTAAATCACGAGTCCCCTTGCAGGAATCCTTCCCTGCTTTGACCACGGGAGAGATTCCACAGATAGACAGGCAAGAACAAGTTCAATCGGATTCATGCATGCGGTCAGTTAGCTATGTCCATTTCATCTATCAGACTAGCCAGCTCAATCCATCCTCAGGAGTAGAAATAACAAAGGGGGAATGGAAAGGGAAATAAGAAAAGTACAGTGAAGGATTTACAGTTCATAGAACACATATAGGCCCGTCTGGACCAGAAGCCAACGCTTGGGAATATACAGCTAGGAAATGAATGCAGCAGGTATTGAAGATGAAATGATCAGCACATCAGAGAAACCTCTGGTTGCTTGGGCTAATCAGATCTGGTGCCGTTAAGAAACTGCGTTGGAATCGGGGGCATGGGCGGTGGCGCCGCGGAAGATCCCTCCTCCGTTTCGTCCTCGTCCTCATCCATCTCATCCACCTCGGGATGGCTGCAAAAAAAATCGTCAGTTACTCACCCAATCTGGAAGGAGGTGTGTGAAAAAAAAAAAAAAGGGAACCTACGCCAGGAGTTCTTTGATGTTGCGCATCTCATAGTGCTTCTTCCGGTGCTGCTCAAACTGACGATGTTTCTCTGCGGCCTCTTGCGACGTGATTAGCCCATCGGGCCCAGACTGATATTCCCCGTTCGCCTCGCCCGCACCCATCACCACATGCTTGTTGCTTTGATGCGACTCGTTGCTCAGGCTCCGCTCGCGCACAATTCGGTCATCAGCCCCAGCGTGCGCATCCCCAGGAAATGAGTCTTCCGGCTCGCCCAACTCCAACTCAGGGATTTCATCCTCGGCCACTCCCTTCTTGGGTGCTTTCATGGTCTTGTCCAATTCATCTACCACCACTCCTTGCGCATCAATCAAGGTGTTCTCGGCCTCGAGCTCCTCCTCGTCCTCAGCAGGGTCGTAGTGGGGTGCAAACGGAGTTTTGGGCTCGTCGATCTTCATCTTGGCCGTCTTCTCCTGTTCGGTCAGGTACAAGTTGGCCTCGTCCCATTTCAAGCGCGGCGAGTTTTCTTCCGGTTGACCGTGGATGTGCGCCAATGATTGTCGCCGAGACGATGATCCCGGGCGCGTGTTCGAGGTAGAGCGACGGCGACCGGCATTTTGTAGAGTGTTTTGCAGCGTCAGCTCCTTAGTATCCACCCCGTCGGGGTCGTTCTGCGGAACGGTCAAGGTGTCATGAACTTGTGCGATCTGCGGAATCGAGCCACTAGAATTCTTGAGGATACCTGGTACCCAAGAAATTAGATCGAAACGTTCCTAGTCATGGCCAATAAACAGGATCACGTACCCTTCGGCCTCTTCTGGGAGTCCTCCATCATGTGGTGCGAAATAGTGGTCATTATAGTCGGAGAAGGAAAAGTATATTGCTTCGAGAAAGGTAGTGTAAACGGATCTCTGACTGAATTGAGAAATTTGAGCAGCGAGGCAGTTGACGAAGGAGTCCAGCTATATTAAGGACGATCGAAGGAAGGCAGAAGACTAGACAAAAGGGAGAGAATCAAGATGGGAAGATGTATCTTTGAGGTTAAATCTGACAGAGATCAGACGAGTCAGCTGCTATTGAAATTCACAAATGCAAGGCCAGCAACTGAGGCTGAGCTGAGCTGACCAAAAACCTCAGCCTCCGATCGAGCGGTGACAAAAGTCTCACGTACAACTAAATGTACAGTACGGGCTGTACTGTACAGAAACTGTTCAGAAGCTGATTCCCAAGCTTCTTTCGTGTCAAAAAGGAACCACGGCGCGATAAGTGGAATTGTAGGGAAGGAAGACTGCGAATTACAGGCAAGCAGATAAGGCAGAGGGAGGTGGGAGAGAGATGGGGAGGGGAGAGGGAGGGGGAGGGGAAAAAGATGGAAATGTACGGAGTAGAAGTCGAAGAGAGAGAGAGAGAGAGAAAGTGGCACGTGGGGCTGGCTGGCTAAACTGCCTCCTCCGACGATGACGTCGGGAGCGACACACACACAACACTACCTAACAACCACTTTTGCTACCTGAGCACCTGAGGGGGCGACTACTTCCAAGTAACTGGCTAGTCACCCTGCCTATCTTTGTCTTTGATGGCTAGTAGCTACTCACTAAGGTGTTCCTAGTCCTACTCACTGCCAGCTTTGCCAAATCAAGAGCTATCCTTGTCATCTTCGTCAATCCTGGAAAGGGCCCGAGCCTTGAATTCGTCATAGGTATGGCAGATCTATATAACTCATCAGTTTGAAGACCTATGCAGGTATTGGCAGGAATATACGCAGAGAATGAAAGTATTGATACGTAGATTACTTCGAGATCTCGTCTTCTGTCATCACCTGACGCTGATGCGGCCACTCCTGTTCAACACTATAACTCTACATTTGGTGCTTGCACAGCTCATCCCTCCTAGAGCACACCTCGAAAGAAAGAAAAGAAGGGAATTAACAAGAATAATAGAAACGAGAGTGTATCAGGAAGCAAGTAATTTAAATAACACAAAAATAGCAGAGAGCCGCCCTAGGGGGAAAAAAGAAGGAGAAAAAACAATGGGTAAATGTATAGGGGAATCTCATGACCTTGCCATGCTCCCCAGGAGAGGAGCCACAAACCAGAAATCAAAACATCACGCGCCACAGGCACCTAGACCCATTCACCCCAGAACAAAGGATATCAAGAAAGCCGCACATCTACATGCACAGGGATCAGTCGCGTTACGCGAACCGAGGTGTCTTCGGTCGAAAGCAATAAGTCATCAATGGTATCAAGTCATAAGATGTGAACGGAAAGTAAAATGATTTTAAAAGAAAATCAGAAGAAAGAACCAGGGCAATCCGAGCAGAGAAGAGACTATAAGTGGAGCAAGCAGGAGAACCTAAATATGACTCAAAGCACAGGCGCAGAAGTGTTGAAAGAATTGTTGAAGAGGAGAGAAACATCTATGCGATGGACTCGAACTCCTCGCGCTCACGAAGTCGATTCCGTGCAAGCTCATCTCCGCCGGTGGCCGACAGCTGCATCCAGTGCAGGGCTAGACACATGCTCTGAGGGTCGGATTTCGAGTCCTTGTCGCGGCGATACATCATCTCCGCCTTAAAGGTGTCACGGAGCAAAGTGAGCGGGAGTGTCACCCGCGGCAGGAGCTCGGGATGGGTGAGGTAGAGGATCGCCAGCTCCCGCTGGGCAATTGGATTGCCCTCCTTGGCTGTAATGATCCACATGCCAGCAGCATCTTCAATGGCATGTCCAGCTCGGGAATGGGGTTCGTTTCCAGCAGGATGGCGCCGGCTGAGCTCTTGAGATACGATATTGTCGGCAATCTCAACCATGCTGTTGCATACTTCATCCTTGAGGCTCAATGCTGCTAGACCAAATTGCAAGAAGGCGGTCCCACAATCGGTCTGGTTCAGCGTCTCGCTCGGAACAAAGGCCGAGATGAACTGAAGATCTCGGAAAAGAGTCTTGGGCTTCACCTCAAGTAGCAAGCTTCGCAGTGCGTCGACTATTTGGTGCTCACTGGGGGCGCTGTAGTCTGAAGGGCGGCAGTCAAAGAGGACAGACTCAGCGACGGCGGAATTAGGCGTATCAAGAGCGGCTTTGTCATGCACACGCTTCGCCTGGGACTCTGAAAAGCTGTGTCGAGCACTTCTCTTTCCCTGCATTCCGGCGCTGCGTCCTCGCTGGCATTTGAGATCTTGGGAGGCAGTAAATGAACCCAGCTCCTCGTTGGTTGTATTGAGGGAAGCGACCACCAATGCTCGTAGATCGCGCAGTGCCTTGAGTTTGACGAAGGGGTTGCCATGTCGGGAAAAGACCTCGATCAGACGATGGAAGATGGCGCTGTACGAGAATTGCGGTACATCTTTTCCAAACTCAGTGTTATTCTTGCAGGGAGAATTCAAAGGGGGTTCAGGGTCCCCGAGCAGTAGGCGGTCTGACGATCCAAGGGATTGGCTTCGCGTACGATTAGATGGTGCACGGTGCAACACATCGCGGACAAGCCGCTCATCACATTCGGTGTAGAATCTTTGAATACGAGCGCGCTTCTTCATCTGCACCTGGATGCGTTGCTGGTTCAGTGCATTAGTGAACCAAGCATCAGTTTCACTGCCACAACTCCAGACGGGAGAACCCAAATCGCTGAGAAGCAAGCTCGTGAGAGTCTGTTTGAGATCATCTATGAAAGCCGCTTTTCCATGCGTCTTGCGGTCATCTCGGCGTGGGTGTTGTGCACTATTATCACTGAACATCGATGGAGGTCGAGAAAAAATACTAGACGAGCTAGGAGCATACTGCGCTGATTGATATGGCGTCGACCAGAAGGTGCTGTATGAGTCGCCCGTGGTGGTCGATGCCGCTCTTCCTGGCGATCCCCCAATGGAGGAGGTATCTGCAAGTGAGGGATCTCGAGGACCTCTCCGCTTGTCGGACAGCAGACTCTGATTGGAAGCTTTGTGGTTCAAGGACGACGCATCGGACGAATACCGCGAGATAGAGTCAGCTGGACGGAACTGATTGCCATATCCCTGCGAGGGGTTTGTGGACTCCCCGCTAGGGGCGTTGAACGGGCGAATTGAAGATAGACCGAGGAAGTTTCGATGGGACGATCCTTCGTACATCGCTCGTTCCTTGTGGTAGAGCTCACTGGCCCACAACACGGGGGTCTCTACCATGCTCTCCCCGACAAGCCGATTGATACTGGCTTGGACTTCATAACAGAATCTGTGGATGCGCTCTTCGCCTTTGCAGAAGTTGTCTATATTGTTATGAGATAGCCATTTGCGGATCAAATCCACCTGCTCATCTGAGAGCTTGTTAGGGCCACCTTGACTGCTCGGCGCTTTCATGATGTTCATGACCTGCAGCTCCGGCTTTTGGAGAAACGAGCTGCCAAATGATCTCGCGTTACCACGAGAACGGCCCTCATATGGCGTTTGCTTATGCGGACGAGCGGAATAGATCATCGTCTTGAGAGCCAAAGCAACGTTTTTGGCATCTTCATACCTCATCGAATTTTTCACATCCGTCATGTACCACATCTTGTTGCGAAGACCAGCCACGGTGGCCATCATATCCTTGACCAGTTTCTGCAATCGCCGAGTCTGTCTGTGGAGTGCAGTAAACTCGGTTTCACAACGCTCGATCACGGCCCGTGACATCTGGAGGGAGCGGGCGCAGGAAGTGTGCATTGGCTCAAGGATCCATGTGTCATCTGCAAGTCTGGTAGAAGAACTTGCGACGCTGCGAAGAAGCTGGCGGCCCGCATTCCACCAATAATGGGCACCAATGAAGTCGGATTCGTGGTGGCAGTGCTGCATCGCTTTGTTGAAGCGTTGCTTGAGCGATGCGCTATCTGCCATAGAAAGACTTTTGAGATGCCGCAAGTCGACATCAGCACCGTCGTTGGAAGGTCTTTCCTGAATCAACTTCACAATGGCCGTCTGTAGAGCTTCAAGGTTGTCCTCCGACTCTAGGGCGGCGGATTGAGCATCTTCAGCAAAGGTACTGTCCAAGAGTGAAGTCTGGCAGTCGTCAGCGAATAGTCCCCATGCCAATCTACCCTGCTTGGAGATTGAAAAAACAGCCCATTCTTCCGCGGCCGGAGGTTCCAGAATAGCCCGACCATCGGGCCCACACATTTCTGACAGCTCATACCGAATCCTGTCGGCATTGCGGTTAATGCTTTCCTCGGCATTCGAGAGAAAATTGATGGCGGAGGCAAGCAGACCCTGGCCCTGGGTCGCATGCCTGGGAAAGAGTTCAACGACAGGTTTGAAAAACCCGGGCTCCGCCACAGCAGTTATCGGTCTTTCTGAGAAGATAGAGGGAACACTTGGAGAGGCAGAGACCCCGGAAGACGACATTGGAGAGCCGCTCATTAAGGCGGATGACCTAGGGTAAAGCGTATTGAGTAATGTAAGAATATCTGCACCAGAAAGCATTATAGACCCGGCAGGTGATTGCTGCCCACTCGAGTACTTGCGAGTCGATTGTGCTGGGTCGGAGTCCTTGCCCACTAATTCAGGTTGAAAGCGGCTGAGCATGCTTTCCACCCGACGCCTTACAGTCAGGCGGACCATCGAATAGTGGTGCCTGTTGAACAAAGACTGGTTAGATATGATTATCAAAAGGCTTAAAGTTCGACTACCGTAAAGGCTGGATACTAACATTGAGCGTAGTATGGCGTAGACTTGTGAATACGCACGAAGGCCCACCTGCCCGAGAAGTTTCTCGCGAGCATCATTACGCACATGAAAGTCAAGGAGAAGACCATGCGCCTGGACACCAGTCAGCGAGGGGTCGGGGTTCTGTCTCATGCTTGCTCGGGGTGTCTTCATACCTCTGGAAAAGTGAGTGCGCCGTATAAGAATTTGGCGAAGAACCATTGAACGAATAACAATTCGAGAAACCGGTTACGGTCATCCCGATGCTCTAGTTTCTGTAATGTAGCACAGCTTAGTTGCATCACGGCTTGTGGAAACCCTCCATCTG